AGTTATTAAGCATTTTTATTAGTTTTTTCTTAGTAGGTCAGTCTTTTATTCTCTTTATTGTCCATAATGTAACATTGTATGACATAAACCTGGACGTCTGTGCTATGAAGGTATGTATAGCTGTTAGTCTGATCTTTGGGTCTAAGTAAAGATAGTTTAATCTCTTGCAATGAAGTTTTTTTACAGCTTTGAGCTTTATTTTTTGAAAGTCAAGGAAGTTCCTACAGATGGTATTTACTGTGTCATTAATGTCTCTCAAAGAAATTGTCACTCACTCATTCCCTTTGAGTTAGGCATTATTTGCAGGATCTAGCCATTCTGAACAGGAATGTTAAACCATGTCTGTCAGATGTTAAATCACTCCCTGTTTATGCCACACTTGAATTAAAATGTTATGTAATAAGTAGATTAACCTTTGATTTTTACATTTTTGTTAAGCATCTGAAAAGTGAATCTCAGTATCTCCTTCCCAGATTTCTATCTTCCAGAGTAAAAAACATGCCAAAGGTAAAGGTACTTGTTTAAAGTGCCTACTGTATGTTGAGCTGTAGAGAGTATTCACTGAATTTAACAGAGAATAGTGGGGGAAAGTCCATAAGGAAGAGTAATTGCACAAACAGTGCTAAATATAGGCAGCCATTCAAATTTAAAAAAACTTCACCAGTCCTCAAAAAGAGTGCCAGGAGGTCTCTGCTGATCAGAGTGAAATAGATGAGGTCATAGAACAAATTGGTCACGTCTACTTGATAGCTTCTATACATTTGCATGTGACAATTGACCTTATTCCCCTAAGTGTATCAGCCTGGAAACTTATTAACTTCTTGTAAAGAAGAGGACAATAAATGCCACTTTTTCTGCCCTGATCCACTGTGTATTTCTACTTCTGTTGGAAATTTAAAACCAAAAAGAGTTCATAAACTTCTTTGCCATTTAGCCATCCCCAATGTCAGGAACAAGCCATGCTAGCAGCAGCAGCCAATGTGGAATTGTCAAGTAATAGGAAATATGTCCAAAACATAGTTCCTATCTTTTACTTTAGTTTCTACTGAGAAGTTAGGGTGTTTCTTATGGATGTGATTTCCTGCATTGTGTGTGCATGAACCTGTATAATCGATAGGACAGGACAGCGTCTGTAATTTTAGTGACAGTTTAGCTTTTTACTGGAACCAGACTATAAGAATTCCTGTTTAAACTGATTGCTTTGAAAGAAATACAGCCTGGCAATACATCGATAATACCTTGACATTTCTTTGTAATTAGAAGTACTTTCATAAAAATTTTCCTCAAGAACTTTGAAGATTTTCTTGTAATTCCTTTGGTTTTTCTGGGGGGGTAATGGAATTTATATAATCAGGTGGTCTGATTTTTCAGAGGTTATTCCCCAGCTTTCTAATGAAGTACAATTTACTTCACAACTTGACATGTCCAAGGTTCACAGTAATTCCTGAAGTTTTAATATACCTTGAGATGTATGTTTCCAGTCTAGCAACAAAGTTATACTAATAAATCATTGCCTGAATTTTGAATTATATGTGCCCAGTGTCTTACCTTTCTGTTGCTTCTTAGAGGCAGCATATCTACACATGTGTAGGTCTTTCAATGCACTGACAAGAAATAACATGGTGAAACAGCACTTTGTTTTTCTTCAACCTTTGTACCTGTTGAATAACCAGGCAGTGTAAAAAAATAATAAACCTAGAAAATCCTTAGCAAAAGATTGACTAAGTTGAGCAACTTCTTATAATCATCTTGGGTTTAATTGGCTCTGCAGCCAATGGAAAAGTCTAATAGTAGTATGCTGAACTGTCAAGTTCCAGATCATATAGGAAGCACTGAGTTAAAATGCCACAGGTAATTTACAAGTAAGTTGAGTTATAATCAATTAAAGAAATGCTGGAGACAGAAAAGGACTTGCATTTTTTTATATGATCGTTCATCAAATGAAGAAAATTTCAAGATATTTGCATTTTGAAGTAAAAATCTCTAGTACTTAGTTAAATCTTTGTTAATTCTTGTGTTTTGGAAACATCATCAGAGGAGGAGCTGCAGGGTGTGATACACAAAGCTCATTATTTACAAAGAATTACAAGCACTGTAAGGACAGCTGTTATAAGGGTTGTATTTCAGGAAGGAATTCTAAAAACAAATCATACCTGCTCTTATTTAAGAGTATATCTCTAGATACACAAACACTGTGTCCCAATGCATTTTTTCTTGCATAAGTGCTCTTTCTATCCAGTGCACACAATTGAACTTCAGTCTCCGTTCCTTCTTTTCTTCTCCATTCCTGTCAAACATGTAGCTTCAGAAATCATTTTACTTCACTATCCCTCTGATGTTATTACCACTTTGGTTTTTTGCTTAATATCTCAGAACATTCTGCAGTTTTTCCAGGCTTCATCCCTGGTACACATCCATCTGTAGTCTTCAAATTACTTGTGGTAGTGAATGGTGTTTTAGTGACAGCCGTTGCTGATATTGCATCAGATTTCTTCTGGAAGTCAACGACCTTAACATTTTCTTGAATTCTCCATTGCAGTTTCTGGTTTTCTTCTTTCATGTCTTCAGCTGGGCTTGATTTAAGAGCAACTGTCACTTCTGAGACCTTGGAGCAGCTTTCATTAGCCCAGATTGGGGCATGAAGAGCATCCAATAAAGAAAGCTCCTTGCCACCCCCTAGTTCTATGCCTTCCAGAGGGTCTTGAATCAAACTACTCTTTGTATCTTAGGAACAGGCTCAGAATAGAGCTTAGGAGAAGGCTCAGCGGTGATCTCATTGCTCTCTACAGCTACCTGTAAGGAAGTTGTAGTGTGGTCGGCTCTGGTCTATTCTGCCACGCCTTCAGTTAGAGGTCTAGAGGAAATGGCCTTAAGCTGAATCAGGGGTTAGATACTAGAAAATAATTTTCCAATGTTAGGGTGATCAGGCGCTGAAATAGGTTGCTCAGGAAGGTGGTGAATTACCATCCCTGGAACTGTTTAAAAGGTGTCAGGATCCGGCACTGTGTGATGTGGTTTCGTGGTTTGGGAGTTGCAGTGGTCAGTTGGACTTGATCTTAAAGGTCCCTTCCAACCTTGATGATTCTATGCAAAATGCTGTTGTCTATCATCCCACCCTGCGCCTGTCAATCCCACAAAACAAACATGTTGCATAACTCAGCCATGAATCACCCGCTGCACTTAAAAAATAACTCCTTTCCACTACCACATGAAACATAATTATCCTTTCATAAACTAGTGTACTTGCAGTGAGGGCCTCATTCTTTGGACTGTGTCTGAACAAATTGTTTTTGCTCTCAAAGGGTGTTCAATTTAATGTCATGTTATAACCATTCAGTTGGTTGGACAGTCACAATGCATTCCACATTTGCCGCATAAAATGGGAGAAGATCACTTTGATTTGTTTCATCATCATCAAGGTCCAAAGCATCTTTGCAGCACAAGCTGCTAACCTGACAGAATTTCTACTCAACATCCTCAGATTTGTGAAGATTATAGATCTATCTTGAAGACAGTTGGAAGTGGTTGAACTTTTGAATTTCTAACCTCTTTTGAAAAATTCCTCATGGTTATCTAATCTCTAGAAAAGAAGGCTTAGTGGGTATTTTATCAAAATAAATACCTGATGGGCAGGGGTAAAGAAAATGGAGCTGCTCTCAGTGATGCCTATGGGCAGGACAAGGAGCAATGGCCACAAACTGGAGAACAGAAAATTCCATTTAAACATAAGGTAAAGCTCTTTTTACTTAAGGGTGGACAAGCATCAAAACATTGCCTAAACAGACTGTGTGGTCTCCATCCTTCAAGATCATGAAAACTTGCCAGAACAAGGCATTGACAACCTGCTCCAGGTGACCATACTTAGTGCACAGGCTGGACCAACCATCAGAAGTCCATTCCAACATCAATTCTACTCTGCTTCTATTATATTTTCATTATCCCCTTACCCTGAGATTATCATTGTGCAGTTCCAATATTTTTTGTCATCTCTTAAGCCTGAGGACATTCTTGGCTGCAGTCTTTGATCTGATAGTGTCAGTTACACAATTTACAACTTTAGGCATCTTGCAGCTCAGAAAGAGTTAATGAAAAAGAGAACAAAAAACAGTTCTGAAGGAAGGTATTCAGCTGATTTTGTCATTCTTAACAGCAGAAGTCACTCAGGAAACAAGCTAACGATTTAAGCAATCTTTCATGACCAGTGAAGGGAAGGAAGGTATACCCTTGAGGGTTTTAGGACTTTTTCTTAATTTCCGTTATCTTTTGCTGTGTTCTCAAATTGACTCTCTAGCTTTCAGGAATTTCATAGAAATTCCTAGACTTAATATGAAACAGTAAGAATGTTGTTTGTGCCTTCCTTGAATTTGCTAAGACAGTTGCTTGTAGCTCACTATAGCTTCCATGGTAAAGTTTTTATATTTGCAGCCTAGTAATTTCCTAACCAGATTAAAGTAATGAATCAAGAATGTCAGAAATGTCTGATTTCTTAGTTATTGTGTGGTTTAAAAGCTTTACACTGCTTAAGACTCCAAACCTGCCCTCTTAAGAAATCCAACCATTTATTGCAAAAAGAAAGTAATGTTTTTGTCATCATCCAGTACCATCAAGTCCTGCTGTCTATATAACATGTTTTCTCTATGTGCATTCACAAACCACATACCAGCTTCTTTATTTCAAACTGCTTGTTGTTACTCCAAAAATTCACTGATTAAGAGCAACTGAGAGGGAGTAGTATACTTTTGCCAGTGTTGGGGCCTATGCAGTTAGACAGGGTGGGAGTGTTGGAAAACTCTGTGGATATTGTAAGGGCAAAGTGTTTATATATAGCTAATCCAGCTCCACAAAGAGTAGATGCAAGTTGGTAACTCCTTTTGTTTAGAGCATCAAGTTTTTGTCTTACAGGAGCACTTGAGTGAGGCTGAAGAAATACCAGAATTTGAAATGAGAGCTTAAAATAAACATCAGCTGGTAAAAGTTATGCAAACATTCTATTTTTACAGCACAGAAAAGTTAATTCAAGCTGTAGAAGAAGATATTGAACGTGAAAAGGGTATAGCAGATGATATAATGAAAGACATGTCGCAGGAAGATCAAGCTAAATACATGGAAATGAAGGCTGCTAATGAAAAACTCTCCCAGGTTGGTTTGTTTCATTGTATTTACCTAAAAGATTTCTTAAACTGCCTTTATGGGTTCTAGATATAATTTAAGTACTAAAGAGCTTGACAACAGAGTAATGCAGTGAAAAACTTGCTGGTATCATAATCAATTGTCGAAGACCTGAAAATAAATAGAGCAATTGACTAAGTCCAAATACATTGTCTTTTTGTACTTGTTTTAAGAACAAATGATGTTCATAATTTTCCTTTTAAATTTGTGGATTGGCATGCAGATTTTAAAAGCCACTGTAATATTTAGATGTTACATCATGTGTAAATAGCAAGCAAAAGGTAAAAATAACCCCAGCAATTTTTGTAGTTCATTTGAGTTTTCTTCCTGTGTACAAAAATTAATCTGACTAGAGGTTTTTGTTGTTAGTACTGTATGCCTGAATGTATCAGAAAAAAATGAACTGGGCTTTTTAAAAGTTTTGTGACTTCACTAATGTTAATTACAGGAGTATGACTTCTAGGCTGTCTGGGATGATTGAGCTTGAAGCATACAGTCTTAGAAGTTATTCTTTATAGTCTGTGCAGAGATGATGCCAGTGTTTCCCAGCTGTCTTAGGATCAGCTGAATCAGTAGTCAGAGCTTAGCTGTCTCTTTCTGGACTATGAAGAAACTGTGGTGGCTAGTTCAGATTTTAAAATCTGACTCCAAACTTCTGAAGTAGAAATAATTAGTTCTACCCTTGATACTGATATTAAGAAACAATAGTAGAAAAAAGGATAAACAACTTTCTTGTTATAGCCCAACTGCAAATAACAATGATACGAGTAATGGAAAATCTGGATGCTGAAAATAAGTTGTTATTACATCTGAGTTACTTGAAGAAACTGGACAGTCTTTTAAATTTTTAAGAGCAGCGATGAGATGGTTTACAACATTTTATGAATACTACGTTTTTGGAGCAAAACTAGTAATCTCATCAAGTAGCAGTTTTTATCTGAATTATGCACTTT